ATGGATCTGTCCTTTGTTATCTCTGCCAAATGCTTTCTGTTACTCATTGAGAACAAATGATTGTTTTACTGATGGGAGTATTACCATGTACTTCAGTAGGGAGCAGTTAGGTTGGATACAGCTCATCAGAGTTTCTTCCTGGCAGGCTGCTGCTGCTATTGTATTTACCTGCACCTCCACAGGTTTAGGTGATTGCAACTCCTGCTGGACATGGATCGCTGTTCCCGAGCAATGGGAGTTGTGGAAAACAGTGTCCTGTCCGTGCCGCTTCCCACAGCTCACATTGGCTGGGAAGGGCAATCAATGGCCAACGGGAACTTCAAGCACTGTACCCATGGAAGCGCAGGTAAATGTATAGGGATGGCGGCCCATCAGAGGCTAACTCTAACGAACCGCCGCCGTCTTATTGCCCACCCCGACTTAGACCAATGCTGAACACTCTTAAAATCACATCATCTGTCCTCATGGGTGTAATCTGGTCAAAAGGATACAGTTAGGTCTTATACACTACAACTTTTAACCATGCTGAATTGGGTTTCCTGGCACTGCTGTTGCTAGAGATTCGGCCAATTTTTAATAGAGCTGGTTGGAAAAAAAAATCAGATGAAATGTTCAGCAGACTATTTGATTTTTGACAAAGTTCCAGTCAGGCAGGATTCAGTTGGTTTCCTGGTAGCTTGCCCACCTGCCGGTTCTTAATTTGTAATGAAAGAAGTGCCAAGACTCAAGGAATTTTTTAAAAACTTTCATAAACGACACAGCAAGCCCAGAGGTGCCTGGACTATGACCTGCCAAGTCTAGATGAACTGAGGCTCAGCTCTGGCACAAATTAAGCACTGCACCTGGCTACTTGGCAACTTGCCTGCATTGGATCTGACTGCGGAAGAAAGAGGGAGGGAGAGGACTTCCAGGGTCTACAGCAACCCACCAAGCAGACAGCCCCAGAGCTGAGACCCCATTCCATTTCATCAAGAATTCTCTATAAAGGCTGATTATATCAAAAAGGCAATGAAGAAAAAAAGCAGATAAAATATCTTTCCACATGCCGAAAGGGACATAAACTTTGGGTCACAGAAAGAATCTCGTTTTAAAGTTTGTTGCTTGCAGGAATAAAGTTGAGGATTCTGCAAGATGTTCCTTTCCCCCTGCCAACCCTAATCAGCAAAAGCCCGGCTCGGAGGGAGATACTTCTGTAAACGTTCAACCTGGAAATGTTTCTGGAAACCCTAAATAATTGCAATTAAGACATATAATTTCCTAAACTGCAAGGGAAATTAAGCAATGTTTTTAAAAAAAGCTTTGCGTTTGAATTCTCACTCAAATCACAACAGCTTGCATTCCACTGTGTTGTGATACCACCTCTGCTGTGATGTAGAATGAAGTCAGAGAATCAAGTATATGGTATGAATCTTAAGGATATGCTGTAGTTCTGAGAAGGACTTTTAAAGATGAGTTTATTTACCAAAGGATATAACAATAACTTTTCAATACTTCTCATAACTACACCATTTTCTAAAAAGAATCCCAAAAAACAACTAACCATCTACATGGAGAAATTCCAATCAGTAGAGAAATCCCCAGTCACTGTGAAGTTAAAGCAGCACAGAAGTAATATTGCAGGAGCATCTGAATAGCCAAACAACAATTATTTCAATAGCGTTTAGTAAACACCCCTTTCTTTTAGGGTATTCTGTACAGTTAGCCTACATTTTAAAAGAAAAACCCTCTTTCAGGTTATCTTTTCAAAATGGAAAATCTGCAGCGTCTTGCATGATCTCACCAGAAATGTGTTAATCTGTGACATTTACTTGTACAGGATTGTTTCCACAAAAACTGTGAGATGCTGAGCTTAAATAGTCAGAATAAGAATCCTCCCTGCCCTGCAGGAATCATCATAACCTGCACTGAAACCAAGTTTGTTGAATACATAAGGCCTATCAGTTTCATAATGTCCCATTTAACTCCAAGTTGTATCTGTGGTTACAAAATGAAAATAAAATGCCTCCCTCTTCTCAGTTTCCTGTAACATGCTTAACAAACTTATTTAGAAACAATGAGTAGTCCTATGGAACCTATTTAGGTTAAATGTGCCCAAGCCATCCTCAAGAGCTGAAGACTGCTAGGTAAATTTCGAATCCAGAGCTGGATCCAAATGTCACAGTTAGTCAATATTCAATAGGCCAAACAAAAGTCTCTCATTTGGGAATGTTCTGATCCATCACTAATTCTGACCAAAATGTAGAGCCAACTAAAGTATGTCTACTAGCCACTAGCAGACATGACTAAATACATATTGTAGATTAATTTGCCTTTTAGTGGTGAATTAGAGATTATTTTTCTTATAGTCAGTTCTTCTGCAATAACTAAGGAGTTCAGTTTAGTGCCTGAACTGGAGCTGCCCAATTCTCAGTGTCCCTAGCAGAGACACCTGGCACAAGAGATACATTTCTCTCTTTTTATATCTGGCATTTAAATGAGCCAAGTTTCAGTATAAGAGGGAAAACCCCACTTCCTAGCTGGTGAAAAGCAAGAAAGAGGAACTAATAAAAGTAAAAAAAAAACAAAAAACAGAATGATACTTTTTTTTAGAGTGGCTAGAAACCTCAACTGCTTACTCTAGCTGTTCAGACAGAACTGGAACCAGAAAAACAAAACACCTGCAAAGGAAGTAAACAGCCTAATCTTTGAGCTGTCCATAGAAACCTTTCCCCTTGCTGTAAGTTCCTCATTCCTTTGAGCATTCTCATCTGTCATCTTTTTCTGTTCCTAGCATTGTTGCCCAAAATGCACACCAAAACCATTCTGAAGGAAGAAGAATTGATTAGAGCAGAATTTCTCAACCTTTTTTTATAAAGTACCCCTTTAAAAACATTATCAGTACTCCCAGTACCTACAGTTTTCAGACGCACACATTTTTTTCTACCATTGCAACACATTTGTTTAAACAACTTAATCGTAGCCGGGTGGGAAATGAAATTTCTGGGTGTAAAAAGTACAAAAATAATAAAGCGCTGTAAAACTTAAAAAAATTCAGTTTTCTCCAAATTTCAGGTGTGTTGATGTACCCCCCGGACTTCTCTTGAGTACCCCTAAGGGTACTTGTACCACTGGTTGAAAAACACTGGATTAGAGGACCTGGGACCCTACCTTGACACATAGCTGAGACACAAACTAAAATACAATTGCAATTACAATATTTATGTAACACTTTCATACTAAAGAGGCCCTGCTGCGGGCTGTGACCAAACTGAGATCTGCTCAGCTCCTGGGAAAAAGGGAAGGAAATGAGCCAATATGGCTGCATGCTACCTAGCTTCAAGAGCAAAGCCATGCTCCGGGAACAACAATCAATGGTCCCCATGTATGCACAAGCTGAGCCTGGGCAGATGCAGACCACCTGATGTTTGGCTGGTGCTACCTTGGTGCCTGCCTGGCTACCTGTGCCACCACCAGGAGCTTGCTTACCTGGAGCTTGCTACCTTGGTGCCTGCCTGGCTACCTGTGCCACCACCAAATCACCCTGCACATGTCTAGGAGCCCTGTGGCCCACCTGGGTGATTTAAAAGGGCCCGAGGCTCCTAGCCACCACCGTGGCAGCAGCAGCAGTTGGGGGCCTCCAGGCCTTTTTAAATCACCCCTGGGAAATACCCCCTTTTCCCTTTCCTCTCTCCCATCAGGTGGCCTGTTCTGGAGATCACTGGATGACTGGGCTAGTCCACAGAATAAGCTTGAGCAGCTTCAAGGCTTGGGGTGTTCAGCATCAAAGAATAAACAGATGAAGTGTAGTGTGCTACAGCCATATTTTCCCTCTTTTGAATTTCCCCCAGAAATGGTCTGTCCATCTGTGCCACGGATACAATGGGGCTATTTCTCAGAGAGTTGATATGCCAGTTTTGTGTGGCACCCATGTGGCCACATGGCTGAAATACAGGGGATGGAGAGGTCAGAATTCAGGTCTCTGAATCATTCTGTTCTGTAGAAAATGTCTCTCAAAGTGGCTTTGTGAAGGGTTCCTTGTATAGAGAGAGAGAGAGAGTGTGTGTGTCAAGGTCACATGTAAAATATTTAGGACAAAAAAAATCTTTATTTTAACTACCCACCCTGCAACCTCAGTCTGCGCTCTGAAATTTAAGCTGTGTCCTTGGTAGCGTGTGTGTCCTCACCAATAACCAAAACTGACACACTGTCTTGAAAACTCTGCCCTGAGAATGTAGCTTGCTGCTGTTGAAGTGTGAGCAGAAACCAGACAATGCCACAGTTGTAAAGGTAAACTTAAATTTTGTCACACCCCCAACGGGGAGTAGATCTTTGAAGTAAACTAAAAGTATCGCTTCTGAACACAGCAGCGCTTTGTCCTGTCCGGGCGCAGCGATCCCGCACAGAACTCTGAAATGCAGCCGCCCATTTGAACTTTCAAACAAGAAAGTGTACACATAGAATCATAGGACTGGAAGGGACCTCGAGAGGTCATCGAGTCCAGCCCCCCGCCCTCAAGGCAGGACCAAGCTCCGTCTACCCCATCCCTGACAGATGTCTATCTAACCTGTTCTTAAATATCTCCAGAGAGGGAGATTCCACCACCTCCCTTGGCAATTTATTCCAATATTTGACCACCCTGACAGTTAGGAATTTTTTCCTAATGTCCAATCTAAACCTCCCGTGCAGGGAGCAGGGGCAGTTTACAGACTCCCAGAGGGACACGCTGGGAGGGGAGCGGTTTCCCGGCAAGTTCAGGAAAAGGACGCGACCTGTCTGAGGGCTCTCCCTCCCTGGAGCGACCCGGCAGGAGGCAGGGACAGGCCGTTTGCTGCCAGCCAGGGTCTCCTTCCTCTCCCTTTCCCCACCCTCCCGTCGCGGCGCTGGGGCAGCAGGCAGGCCACGAGAGGGGGGCAGAGTCACGCTCCCGCTGCGGCCACTGCCTGCCCCTCCCGGGCCTTGTCCCAGCGGGCCGGGCGCCCTCAGGCTGCGGCTCAGGCCCCCCGGGCGGCGGGGCCGCTCACCTTGACGCGCTTGCCCTGCAGCTCCAGGCTCTTCATGGTGAAGTCCACGCCGATGGTGCTGCCCTGGCGCTCGGCGAAGGCCCCGGTTTTGAAGCGCTGCACCAGGCAGGTTTTGCCCACGCTGGCGTCGCCGATCAGCACCAGCTTGAAGAGGAAATCGTAGCGCTCCTCCGGGTCCGG